ATAACTAAAGAATCCTCTGGGTCATAACTAAAGAATCCTCTATGGGGCTGTGCACGGTATACATCAGGGTAGGTTACGTAAACTTAAGCAGCAGGAAACAGGACAAGTGATTCCTGACGCTGGTCTTAGTCACATGATGACCCGCCACTGGAGCTTATGGTCATCTGACCGAGGCCTTCCACTGGCTTACCACTCCACCCCATTAAAAATTAATATCAGTGTATCAGTATATGTCAGACTTGGAGTGAAAAACATCGTAGACTTGAGCAGACTCTTCACTACAGTATTATTCATTAACTCCAAAACTGAGGGACTGATTACCTCCTCTTTTGTATATACTTCTTCAGTCTTCCATTCATATCCTTGAATTTGTATTGATAAAGCCACTGGAGGGCGAAACGTCTACAGTAAAGATACCCAGATGTTGCACATGTGTATAATTCTTCATCATGTCGGTATTGTCTACCATACACTTGTAGCGGGATCGCTAGTGCACTCAGCTCACACACTGAGGTCCGGGGTTCGAATCTACTCCGGTACGGCTGGAAAACATTAGGAACGTGTTTCCATAAGACACCTGATGTCCCTGTCCCTGTTCACTCATCAGTTTAAAATGGATACCTGAGTGTTAGTGGACTGGTGTGAGTCGCATCCTGGGTGTTAGTGGACTGGTGTGAGTCGCATCCTGGGTGTTAGTGGACTGGTGTGGGTTACATCCTGGGTGTTAGTGGACTGGTGTGGGTCACATCCTGGGTGTTAGTGGACTGGTGTGGGTCACATCCTGGGTGTTAGTGGACTGGTGTGGGTTACATCCTGGGTGTTAGTGGACTAGTGTGGGTCACATCCTGGGTGTTAGTGGACTAGTGTGGGTTGCATCCTGGGTGTTAGTGGACTGGTGTGGGTTACATCCTGGGTGTTAGTGGACTGGTGTGGGTTACATCCTGGGTGTTAGTGGACTGGTGTGGGTCACATCCTGGGTGTTAGTGGACTGGTGTGGGTCGCATCCTGGGTGTTAGTGGACTGGTGTGGGTCACATCCTGGGTGTTAGTGGACTGGTGTGGATCAAATCCTGGGTGTTAGTGGACTGGTGTGAGTCGCATCCTGGGACAAAACTGACCTAATTTGCGGGAAATGCTCAGCATAACAAGCGGCTTTCTATATAGTAGTATGTCACTGATGTCAGCTATGATCTGTATACCTTGTACATGTACTTGTATACCTTGTACATGTACTTGTATACCTTGTACATGTACTTGGTATACCTTGTACATGTACTGGTATACCTTGTACATGTACTTGTATACCTTGTACATGTACTTGTATACCTTGTACATGTACTGGTATACCTTGTACATGTACTTGTATACCTTGTACATGTACTTGTATACCTTGTACATGTACTTGTATACCTTGTACATGTACTGTATACCTTTTACATGTACTGGTATACCTTGTACATGTATTTGGGTATACCTTGTACATGTATTTGGGTATACCTTGTACATGTATGTATACCTTGTACATGTACTTGTATACCTTGTACATGTACTTGTATACCTTGTACATGTACTTGTATACCTTGTACATGTACTTGTATACCTTGTACATGTACTTGTATACTTGTACATGTATTTGGGTATACCTTGTACATGTACTTGTAAAACTTGTACATGAAACTTGTATACCTTGTACATGTAATTGTATACCTTGTACATGTACTTGTATACCTTGTACATGTACTGTATACCTTGTTCATGTACTTGTATACCTTGTACATGTACTTGTATGCCTTGTACATGTACTTGTATACCTTGTACATGTACTGGTATACCTTGTACATGTACTTGTATACCTTGTACATGTACTTGTATACCTTGTACATGTACTTGTATACCTTGTACATGTACTTGTATACCTTGTACATGTACTTGTATACCTTGTACATGTACTTTGTATACCTTGTACATGTACTTGTATACCTTGTACATGTACTTGTATACCTTGTAAAATGTACTTGTATACCTTGTACATGAAATTTGTATACCTTGTACATGTACTTGTATACCTTGCACATGTACTGGTATACCTTGCACATGTACTGGTAGTAAGTAATGGTTCACAGAGCCGACAGTATGATGCATTAGACACATGTGCAATACTCAGGTATTTTTATTCTGCAAAGTTTCGCCAGCTAGTGACTTCTTCAGTCCAATGCAGAGAAAGGTGGAAAATGAGGAAGAGTTTGAGGTAATCAGTCCTTCAACCTGGAGTCGATGTGATCATCAGTCTTGATAAAATGATCTTGAAAAGACTGATGGACTGATCACATCGTCTCCAGGTTGAGGGACTGATTACCTCATACTCCTCCTCGTCTTCCACCTTTCTCTGCATTGGACTGAAGAAGTCACTAGCTGGCGTAACGTTTCCACAATAAAAATACCCAAGAATTGGGCAATTGAACATTAAAATGGTATAAAATACCGACAGGTTGTTAGGTAAG